TCAATGAATGCCCAGTAATTTAATAATAATGGAGGATATAAATAATTTAACAAAAAATTTGGCAGATCAGTCTCATTTACAAATTAGAACATGACATCTTCCTTTTCTAGTCACCTTGGACTATTCTACTGAAACTGAGGTGAAATGAAATGCTTCTTTCAGCCAAATATATTTGAATAATTCTACTAGATTTTTAAAAGCAACAATCAGTTAAAAAAGCGTGTAAAACACCCCCTTTGAAAGACCCAGTATTCAGTTAATTCTGTTGCGTTTGTGCAAATGAGCACTCATCCTGTGACACATTTGCAAAATAACCAAGTTTACAAATTATACATATTTTAAAGGAATCATAGATCCTGGCTATTTAGAGGAGTTTCAAACCCTACTTAAAAGGTTGTTTAAAGGAATAGTCCCTCAGCAGAATAAGATTGTTCCATTAGAACATCTTAATAGAAAATTAATCCATCTGTGTAGTGAATGGAGTCAGATGTTTTCCACCTTATCTCAGTGGAATTTGTTGTAGCAGGAATCTTGGCATTGCTAGGAACAAATGTAGATTTTTCTTCTGACTGTAAGACCATTTAGGTATTAACAGAATCACAACAAGCATTCAAAAAAGATGTGCAGAGCTAGAGGGAGTGGGGCTGAAAGAAGAATAAAGCTTCTGATGCATGCGGAGTCTACATGTAATTTGGAATCCTGGAAAAAATAGGTTCCTGTGACATTCACCCTGTGGCCCCTGCTTGTTTCACCAAACACAGAGCTCACGAAGGTATCCCAACACGCCCTTTTCCTCACTGCCACCAGTTGGTCTCTTTATCAACCTATTTTTCCTGTGAAAAACTGAGGTCCATTCAGTACTGAAGTTTTAAACAGAAACAGGCTTATTACAAGTTGTCTTAAGCACATTCTTAAAGTTACACGAAGCTTCAGTATTTTACGTTACCCCCTTCTATCTCAATTAATACAGGTCACACTCTGACTAATTACTCTGTAAACACTCTCTCTGCCTCAAACCCCACACTGTTTTTTTCTCGTTTCTTTGACTCTCACTGAACTGACTAGACTCTGACTCACCCCTCCCTCCTGGTTTTTTCGGCTCCACCTCCCAACAGCTCCCGTTGGTGCAGGCCAATACCATTATATATATATATAAATATAGATAGATAGATAGATAGATAGATAGATAGATAGATAGATAGATAGATAGATAGATAGATAGATATAGGAAGGCAGGGTGTTCACTACACTTCCCAATGGTACAGAAAAATTAACAGATGGTCTTCCACTCAAGACTTTCTGAATGGAGACAAGCAGAGTGGGGCTTCAGCCTCATGTTTCCAAACTCTTTTCAAGCTCATGCTTTCAAATTAAGCCTTATTTTGAATGCTGGATATGGCTAAAAGGTGAGTAGGACTTAAAGGGTGGTGGTGATGTGGAGATGTATGTAAGCCCCCACTCTTGAATTCTTGCCAAATCTTTGTGTGTTTAAAGTTCAGACCTACATAGCTGCTTACAGCAGTGTACAATGTTTCTTTGATGGGCACCCTCATAAGTAAAAGACTGATAGACTTGGAAGGGGCATATAAGGCCATCAATCTAACTCTCTGCTACGTGCAGGAATCCAAATCGAAGCAGATCTGACAGATGGTATTCCAATTTTCTCTTTATTTATACCCCGCCTATCTGGTCTTGCGACCACTCTTGAATGCCTTTAGTGTTGGAGCAGTCACCATCTCCTGAGGTAAATGGTTCCATTGTCATACTGTTAGGCCATTTTTCCTGACATTCAGCTGATATCTGCCTTCCTGTAACTTGAGCCCATTATTACATGTCCTGCACTCTGGAATGATTGAGAACAGATCTTGCCTCTCCTATGTATGACAGTCTTTCAAATATTTGAAAAGTGCTATCATATTTCACTCCGGTCTTCTTTTCTCATATCTTTCCCCCGACCCCTGAGTCTTCTTTTCTCTTCGTTATCCGAACTGCTGATCATGGAAATGCTATAAGCACATTCAGTGTCTATGTAGATTTTTGCACTTATGAAGGTCTGCAGGAAATCCAGATGGATGGGGATGTCAGGGAGATATTACATGTCTACTCCCACCCCCAACCCCCCAACCCCAATCTCCAACTCTTACATTATTTCGGACTAAGCACCTTAAATGTGCTCACAATAACAGATACAAATCCCAAATGCTGGTGATAATGGAATTAAAAGATTGGTTGGGCATTCTTTGGACATTCTCGTCTCACTCCTGTTGCAGGTGTTGCCACTTCATCAGGTCTGTAGCTATGGTTAGAGATGGGCATGAATCCATCTTGGTGTGGTTTGTTTCCCTGCCCAACAGCTGATCTATGGTTTAGTGCCCCATCTCCTCTGGGGGGCACCCACCTGTTGGCAGTGCCCCACTGTGCCTCCTCCAGGTGTTGCTGCTGAGTGGGCACCCACTGGAGGGATAGGATGCTGAACAGCACATCAGTTATTTGGCCAGGAAACTAACAGCACCAAACCACCAAACCAGTGGTTTGTGCCTGTGATATTTGCCCAGGTCATGAATATTCATATGCTATTTGCATAGACCAATGGGAGTGCTGGAGGGGCGGGGTCACAAGGTATAAGAGACTCAGCAGCAGGAGGAGGAATTTTAGATAGGGTTTTGAGAGAGAAATTAAGAGAAAGTTTAGGAGTTTGGGCGGGAGAGTGGTGGTTGAGAGTGATAAAGGAGAATGTTTGTCAACAACATTGCTTATTCTATCAACATCTGTAACAATAAACAATTTCTATTTGGTTCTTTTAAAATGACATATAGCCTGGACATCTATCATTAATAATAGGTAATGTTGATGTAATCAACTGGTGGTAGCTCAGGGGCACGTAGCATGAACTCTTTGTTTGGTGAAACAAGCAGGGGCCACATGGAATTGTGACTAGAGATGGGGACGAATATAAAAACGGATTGGTTTTTTTTTAAAAAATAGCCGATCCGTTAAATATTCATCCCTTCATATTCATGGGTTCCAGAGACCCCCATGAATATGAAGGGATGAATATTTACCTGTTTTTATTTATCCTTCCTATTACCAAAAAACAAAAAACCCTGAAAAACAAAACACCCTTCTGCCTATCGGGGGTGGCTGCAGATAGGCACCCCCCCACACAGCCACCCATCTGCATTTCTTCCTTTGTTTTAGTAAGAACTATAGAATAGGCCTTCCTCTGCCAAGAGGGAATCCATAAGGGATTCATCCAGTCCCTTGAGTACTGTAGCTCGGGACTCAAATGGATAGATATACCAAGAAGAATTACAATCTACCAGAATTTGATGTAGCTCAGAAAGAAATACCTTGCTTCTCACCATAACCTGGTGAGTGACCTTCATCTGCTACCCATTTAGGTGTGTTTTCTTTTCAATCAATCCCTCCATCTCACTCAATGCTCTTTATCTATCACAGATCTAAGTGGGGTGACGCCCCACCCTTCACAGCAAATTGCGTAAGTGTAGTTCTACATGCCAGTCTCACTGAGGAAGAATTAATAACACGTTTTATTACTCAGTTGATTTTTTCAGACATGATCCAGGCAAAGCCTTTGATGGTTTATCACTAATTTACAAGTAAAGTAAAGCTGCAGCCATGTAAAAATCAACATGCATTGAAAGTTTACTTCAGTTGAGTGAGGCAAAGGCAATCTGGAGACTTGCACTGAAAGAGCAGCTAGGTGGCCATATGGGAGGTGGCAGGTGGCATTTGGGGGCTGAGAAGGAGCAGACAAGGAGCTGCCCACAGAGAAAGTCAGAGACAGGTACCTAACTACGAATAAACAACACCTTTTCCAGCTGGTCATGGTCCCCAAGGGCTGTGCTTGTCAGGATCTGGAAACCCCCTGAATCTCTACCATGCTAGACAACAGGTGAACCTGGAATTTCACACCATGATGCAACGTAACTAGTGAGAAACACCTGCAAGGCTGGCACAGCAATGAGGCAGGTGGTGCTGGTGGAAGAGAATGCCATGCAGAGATTGGCAGATGGAGAGACAGCTAGCAGGAGGTAAGCAAGCCACATCATTGTAAGTTGGGCACAGTGCCTCTGATGTTGAACAGCACTACTATGCTAAGAGGTGGGAGACGAGGTCTTGGCCAAGGCTAAACACAGCTAGAGAATAACTATCTATGTAGCAGGAGGCAGGAGAGTGGGAGACAGCTGGTGGAGGAGCAATGAGACAAGTGGCAGTCCTGGAGGGCAGCAGAGTGAATAGGAAGCTTCTAGTGGAGGAGGCTGGCAAAGCAAAGGGAACAGCAGCAAGCACCAGGGTCCAGTAAAACTCTACTCTGCAAAATGGCATGAGATGCTGCTCAAGGGGCCTGGCTACTTCACCCTGAAATAGCCAGGCATGGACTGAGAGAGGCAGTGCTGATATCTAGATAAAGGAATTGTTATTAGGTAGCACAATTGCCACGAGGGCACAATTCCCCCGATGATGAGCACTGTACACATCATTGTGCCAGGAGTTCAAATACTGTTATTTGCACCAGCAAAATAGCTAGATGGGCAACAGTTGATCAAAAATGCAGACAAGCAGAGGTAGCTGGAGAGGAAGGAAGGGAGGCTGGCAGAGCAAGAAGACACCAGTAATAAACCTATCAGTCAACACCTCCAAAATTCCAAGCACTTGGTCCAACTACTTCCTCTTGTACCTGGTGGACCAGCAGAGACAGTGAGAAGAGGACAGAGTGGATGGTCAGCCTTCATACTATATGTAATATATAAGCAATAGCTTTGCCAGGTGAGCATAGCCCTTGTATTGGCACGATGGCACGGTGCATGACTAACACAGAGGTTAAGTGCTGACTTCCTGGAGTGAAGGAAAAGCACAGGAAAAGCCACAGAATTATTAATGTGGGGAAATGCACGTGCTGAAGATTACTGATTTCTTACATGTAAATATTCATTCAGGAGACTACATTGTATTGACACAAATGTTATTAGCTGTAAACCTTTTATTGAAAAGTACAACAATTAAGCATTTTATATATTTGAATAAGTGGAACTGAGTAGTATACAGATTAGAAAGTGTAATACAAGTAATGAAATAGTTTTATGAAGCATAAACATGTCATGTAAAAGGTTCCACTTCCATTCATGAAATGATTCCTAGAGCATTGAAACGAGTTCCCTATTCCTGTGCCTCCCCACATGTTATAATATGTTCCCTTCACCACATTATGTGTAGATAGCATGAGCATGAGAGGTCTATGCAAGTCCCCTGTATCTCCTTCCACCTTTAACTCTCCCATTGTTGTAACTTCCTGAAGCTCAGGACATGGGGATATGAGAACTCCTGTCCCCTGGGCTGCTAATGTGCTCATCAAGAAACGAGAGGCTAAAAAATCAGGCTCTTGATTCTAGGGCAACACCGTTGTCTGCACATGCTGCATACTCCTGTGGAGAAGCATCTTGCTCATATATCAGGGATCTCCACCCTTCAGCCCTAGTTCAGATCACCAATGGCGACGGAGAATAGGACTTGCAGGTCAACTACATGTGGACGGCCCCAGGATGTTCACCCTACCGCAGTTTACCAAACAAAGAAGGTGCAATCACATTTTTAGGCTTTTGATTTAATAATATCTTTTGAAGAACTGCTATTCCCTATCTGGCTCTTGATAAATTTATAAAAAGTAGCCTAAGTTATAAGAGTGAAATTCAGTGGTCACTAGTTTACCCTGAAGGGATTAAATGTCACACTGATGCCTTACTTAACAGAACATTTTTAGATACAAGCTGTAGTGAAGTCAGGCAGAAACCTGAAATTTCAGGTGTTCTTCCCAATAGTTGCTCTCCCCAGCAACAGATTATAAGTCTGTAGCTGTGCTATGTATTAAAAGGAATTCAATAAAATTCAATAAAATTATTCCTATTTCTTCTTCTTCTTCTTGCCCTTCTTGCCTTCCTTTTTTTTCTCTTTCTCTTTTCCCTTGTCCTTTCCTTTTCCTTTTCCCTTTCCAGTATCTTCTTTCTCTGTCATTGACTTGATTCGTGCTTTTCCCAAAGGAGTCTTTGCATACCAAGCCTGCAAATCAAATTGAAACATATTTTAAGGAGTCTGAAAGTATGCAAGTAACATTTCTTTTTCTGTCTGTGATAGTATTTTTCTTACAAGAACCCTAATTGTAGGCAGCTTGTTGAGAAGCAGCATCACAATTTTAGTTCTCCTGAGAATGCTATTATAACAAGAACACTAGCAATCATCTTTTTGAAGTGGCTCATTAACATGAATACATAGCTGCAGTACTCAAGTTGCTATAGTTATGATACCATTACCATCTTTGTGATCAACCTTGTTTCACAGGGTGTGTTCCTCTACTTGAAACTTATCTTTGATATTTGACAGTGCAGCAAGATGTACAAGTGAGTATGGCTATCTGATTTTGGAGTGTTTTTTTTATTTTTATTTTTTAAAAAAAACACTGTTGCATGATTCCCTAACATTTACAAAAAATAAGTGGAGAGTATCAATTAAAGCTGTTCTTCTAGTGTGAAATCTATTTTAAAGAATAGATTTGGACTAGTGAGCAGAAGCTTGTGAATTGGGTGAGTAAACAAGGACATTTTGCATGGTATTGGTGGAAGAGGCAAAAAAGGCTGTCTGTTGCTTTGTGGTTAATGGTTTGATTACAACTGTGTGTTCTGCTCCAAGTACATAATACTAGGATAAAAGAAGGCAACATGCAGCCTGTGGGCAAATGCAGTCATCCCAGCACCCAGGGGCTCCCCAGTGTCCCATATCCAATTTTATTTTTTAATTTTTGAAAAAAAATGTTACAGGGTGAACAGACCATCCATCTTCCAGGGGCATGGAGACAATTTTTCTGTCTGCCGAAGTGTTTAATTGTGAAAGAATATTTTTGACCACTTTTGTTGTTTAGTTGTTAAGTCGTGTCCGACTCTTCATGACCCCATGGACCAGAGCACGCCAGGCCCTCCTGTCTTCCACTGCTCCCAGAGTTGGGTCAAATTCATGTTGGTCACTTCGATGACACTGTCCACCCATCTTGTCCTCTGATGTCCCCTTCTCCTTTTGCCTTCGCACTTTCCCAACATCAGGATCTTTTCCAGGGAGATTTCTCCTCTCATGAGATAGCCAAAGTATTGGAGCCTCAGCTTCAGGATCTGTCCTTTCAGTGAGCACTCAGGGTTGATTTCCTTCAGAATTGATAGGTTTGTTCTCCTTGCAGTCCAGGGGACTCTCAAGAGCCTCCTCCAGCACCACAATTCAAAAGCATCTCTTTTTTTTGGCAATCAGCCTTCTTTATGGTCCAGCTCTCATTTCCGTACATCACTAGAGGAAAAACCATAGCTTTGACTATGCGGACCTTTGTCAGCAAGGTGATGTCTCTGCTTTTTAAGATGCTGTCAAGGTTTGTCATCGCTTTCCTCCCAAGAAGCAGGCGTCTTTTAATTTCGTGGCTGCTGTCTCCATCCGCAGTGATCATGAACCCCAAGAAAGTAAAATCTGTCACTGCCTCCATATCTTCCCCTTCTATTTCCCAGGAGGTGATGGGACCAGT